AAAAAAATAAAACAATGGTTTGCAAGGCATGCAGGTAAAAGGGACAGTGAACTCTAAGAGATGGGAAACAAAAAAAGTAAGCCTTACAATTGTCCCCGCTTACTGCCTTGAAAGAAAGGAAGAACCCGGGCAGAGCCTTGATCAGCTCCCTGATTTCAGAAGTCAGCTCTAACACTATAAGGAGACCAAGGTAGCTAGAGTTCCTGAAACAGAGAACTGGAGATGAGAGTACAACACACAGACAGAAATTGGAAGATCTGCAGAGGATTCTTCTTAATACTTTAGTTGATATTGATCAGAAATGCATATGAGGAAATTATCTAAGATCAAAGGACCATCAGAAAAGATAAGAAGCAACAGACCCTTGCACTCAAACAGGATGAGGAAGTGTACTGGTTACCACTAATGTTATTGTAAATGCTGAAGATTCGTGAGGTATTGGGTAGGGAAAACAAAAAAGTCTTGTCTCTGTAGAGATAATTAGGTCTAGACTGATAATTAGGTCTAGTTTAAGTCCCACTGAACAAATTCCAAAATAAGACCCAAAAGTAGCAAATTGTCTCTAAGTAACTCAACTGCATTCCAGAACAAAGCTCAAGATTCATAGGAATGCAAAAATATCCAGCATCCAAAAGGTTAAATTTGCAATGCTTGTCATAAACCAAAGATTACAAGGCATGCAGAGAAGTAAATACATATATTTACATATATATATATGCCAAGATGAATGCTAAATCAATAAACTCAGAACTTACAAAGATGTTAAAATTAGCAGACAAGAGGAATAAAAGAGTTATTGTGACTATATTCCATGTATTCAACACCTTAAATTTATACATGCAAAATATATTTTAAAGAGCTAAATCAAACTTCTAATAATGGAAACTACAATATGTAAAATATGATTAACTGAATGTGATTAACAGCAGATTTGATATTGCAGAATAAAAGATAAATGAAGTTGAAGATGTAGCAAAGAAACTACCCACAATGATAAATAAAGATAATTAGGAGATAATAAATAGAGCAACAAAGAGCTGTGGAACAACTTCAAGTAGACTAATATAGGTTTATTTGAGTCCCCAGAGGAAAGGGAGTAATGAAAAAGTATTTTAAGAAATGATGAAGCCGGGCGTGGTGGCTCACGCCTGTAATCCAAGCACTTTGGGAGACTGAGGGGGTGGATCACAAGGTCAGGAGTTTGAGACCAGCCTGGCCAACATGGTGAAACCCCATCTCTACTAAAAATACCAAAAAAAAAAAAAAAAAAAAATTTGCTAGATATGGTGGCTCTTGCCTGTCAAACCAGCTATTTGGGAGGCTGAGGCAGGATAATTGCTTGAACCCAGGAGGTGGAGGTTGCAGTGAGCTAAGATCACACCATTGCACTCCAACCCAGGTGACAGAGCAAGACTCTCTCTCAAAAAAAATAATAAATAATAAATAATAAAGCAGACATAATAATTAAAAAAAAAAAAGAAAAAAGAAATGATGGCCAGGTGCAGTGGCTCAAGTTTGTAATCCCAGAACTTTGGGATGCCAAGACTGGTGGATCACCTAAGGTTAGGAGTTCAAGACCAGCCTGGCCAACATGGTGAAACCCTGTCTCTGCTAAAAATACAAAAATTAGCTGGACATGGTGCTATGCACCTGTAATCTCAGTTACTCAGGAGGCTGAAGCAGGAGAATCACTTGAACCCGGGTGGCAGAGGTTGCAGTGAGCCAAGATCATACCACCACATTCCAGCCTGGGCAACAGAATGAGACTCCATCAAAAGGAAAGAAAGAAAAGAAAGAGAAAGAAAGAAAGAAAGAAAGAAAGAAAGAAAGAAAGAAAGAAAGAAAGAGAGAGAGAGAGAGAGAAAGAAAGAAAGAAAGAAGAAAGAAAGAAAGAAAGAAAGAAAGAAGAAAAGGAAGGAAGGAAGAAAGGAAGGAAGGGAGGAAGGAAGGAAGGAAGAGAAAGAAAGAAAGAAAGAAAGAAAGAAAGAAAGAAAGAAAGAAAGACAGACCAAAATTTTCCCAAATTTGATGAAAATTATAAATATAGATTCAAGAAGCTCAGTGAAATCCAAGCACAAGAGGCATGAGGAAGACTATGGCTGCATTTAATTATGACACGGCATAATTAAATTGCTCAAGACCAGTGACATAGAGAAAGTTTTAGAAGCAGCTGAAAAAATAGACACATCATATTCAGAGGAACAAACATAAGGGTGGTAAAATATTTCTTATAAGGTATAACACAAGTGAGAAGATAGTGGAGTGACATCTTTAAATTGCAGAAAGAAAAAACTGTCAACCTAGAATTGTATGCCCAGGGAAAAATTTTGCAAACATGATGAAAAAAGAAAGAATATTTCAGACATATAAATATTGAAAGAATTCATCACTAACAGATGCACACTACAACAAATGCAACTCTTTCTTATAGAAAGAAAATGATGCTAGATGGAATATGGACTTACACAAAAGTATGAAGATCAGCAAAAATAGTAACTACATGGTTACATATATGAGATTCTTTTCTTGTCTTGCAAACACCTTTAAGAGATGTTTTCAATCAACTTTTAAAACAAAATAATAGCAATACATTGAAGGTATTTGTATTAGTCTGTTCTCATGCTGCTAAAAAAGACATACCTGAGACTGGGTAATTTATAAAAGAAAGAGGTTTAATGGGCCCACAGTTCTACATGGCTGGGGAGGCCTCATAATCATGGCAGAAGGTGAAGAAAGGGCAAAGTTACGTCTTACAAGCTCGCAGGCAAGACAGCATGTGCAGGGGAACTCCCCTTTATAAAACCATCAAATCTCATGAGACTTATTCACTATCATGAGAACAGTATGGGAAAGACCCACTCTCACAATTCAATTAACTCCCATCGGGTCCCTCCCATGACACATTGGAGTTATAGGAGCTACAACTCAAGATGAGATTTGGGTGGGGACACAGTCAAATCATATCAGTATTATAACATCTAAACAAGTAAAACGTATGACAATGATAGCTCAAAGGACAGGGCATGGCAGAAATGGAAGGTACTATCTTAAGCTTTTTATACTATACTTGAAGAGGTATAATGGCACTTGAAGGTAGAATCTGATAAGTTAAATATGACTACTATAAACCATGAAAAACAACAGTTATAGCTAATATACCAATAAACATAAAATGAAATTTTAAAATATATTGGATTAATTCAAATAGAATAGAAAAAGTGGAACATGGAAACAAAGAACAAATGGGATAAGTATTGAACAAATAACAGGCAAGATTACATATTTAAACCTAAACATATCAATAATCATGTTAAAAGTAAATATTCTACATACCTCAATTAAAAGGCAGAGATTGCCAAAGTGCATTAAAAAAATCCAGACCTAACTGCTTACACACACTTTAAATATAAGACACAAATAGACTTAAAGTAAAAGGTTAGAAGAAATATACCATGATAACACTAACAAAAAGAAAGCTAAAGTGGCTATATTAATATCAGACAAAATAGATTGCAGAGCAGAGAACATTACCAAGAATAAAGAAAGTCATTTCATAGCAATAAAGGGTAGATTCATCAAAAGAACATAAAGATCCTAGACATGTATGCACCTAATAACAAAGCTTTGAAACAAGACAAAGCAGATAGAATTTCAAAAGAAAATAATCCACAACTATAGTCAAAAATTTAAATATCCTTCTCTCAAGAATTGATAGAACAAGTAAACAGAAATTTAGTAAAGCTATAGATGCAAACACTCTGGACAAAATTTTAGCAAATCTACTCCAGCAATATAAGAATAATAAATCATTACCAAGTGGGATTTATCTCAGGAATTCACAGTGAGTTTAATATTCAAAAATACATCAATACACTTCACCATATTAACAAACAAAATCCATATGATCATCTTATAAACATAGAAAAAGCATTTGGTAAAATCTAACATCAATTTCTGTTAAAAACAGTTGGCAAAGTAGGAGAAAAATCTGTAATATTCAGTATTTGAGACACTGTGTTATTTATATTATAATTGAAATATAGATGAAAGGAACAGATAGGGCACAGAAATAAACACAATGATGTTTAACAAAGATATCAAGAAAATTCAGTAGAGTACAAAAATCTTTTCAACAAATTTTGCTGACACAATTGGATATCCACATTCAAAAAGATGAAATCAGACCCTTACCTCACGTTATACACAAAAATCAACTCAAAATGGATCATAGAACTATATGTAATAGATAAAAGTGTAAAACTCTTGGAAGAAAATATAAGTTTAAATATTTATGATTTGGGGTAAGCCAAATCCTTCTTAGATATGATACCAAACACACAAGTGACAAAAAATAGATAAATTTAGTTTATCAAAATTTAAAACTTTTGTGCTTTAAAGACGCCATCATGTTTTAACAGTACCTGGGATCTGTTTTAATCTGGTATGGTAAGACATACCAAAATGGAGATGACAATCTTTAACGAATAAGTTTATACTCACAGATCTCTAGAAATAGAAGGCACAGAATGCCACATGGTGGGTTCACACAGGGAAGCACGGAGTTTGTCAGGAGCCATAGGGAGTAAGGGAAAAACGTGCACTTAGAAAGAACTGGTTTGAATAATTCAATAATTTCAACAAGCTCTGGGGCATGGGGGCTGCCCCTGGTTTTCTGGTACTTGGCTCTGGATTGACAAGCAGGGGAATAGTGGCCTAGAGTGGAAAAACCTGATAAAGAGGCCAGGTGCTGTGGCGCGCGCCTGCAATCCCAGCCCTTTGGGAGGCCGAGGCAGGCAGATCATGAGGTCAGGATTTCGAGACCAGCCTGGCCAACATGGTGAAACCCTGTCTCTACTAAAAATACAAAAAAAAAAAAAAAAGAAGAAAAAAAATTAGCTGGGCATGGTGGCTGGTGCCTATAATCCCAGCTACTTGGGAGGCTGAGGCAGGAGAATCACTTGAAACCGGAAGGCAGAGGTTGCAGTGAGCCGAGATTGCACCACTCTACTGCAGCCTGGGCAACAAGAGTGAAACCCCATCTCAAAAACAAACACAAAAACCTGATAAAGAAAATTGAAGGTAGGAGCTCTGGAGTGGTTGGTTTGTATTTGGAAAGCACCTTCACAGGTTTACTATCTTCAGGAACTGGCTAGCCCTGAGAGGAGCAGTCCTGCCAAGGTCGGCAAGAGCCCAAGACACCAAAGCATCAAAAATACACAAAATAAAAAAGCATGATTAATACACAGCAAGAAAGTAAAAAGACAACTCATGGAACTGAAGACATGATTGCAAATCACGTATTTGATAAGAGATTTGTATCTATAATATTTAAAGATCTCTTGCTAAGTTAAAAAGAATAAAAATGATAGCCCAATTTTAGACAAACGATTTGAATAGACATTTCACCAAAAATACAGCAACGGCAAATAAGAACATGAAGAGATGTTCAACCTCATTGGTCTTTAAGGAAATGCAAATTAAAAACACAATGAGATGCTGTTACATAACTTTTAGGACGACTATAATAAAAAAGAAGGTTAATAACAAGCATTAGTAAGAATGCCAAGAAAATGGAACCTACATACATTGCATGCTGGGTGTAAAATGGTGCATACAGTTCAGAAAAGATTTTGGTGTGTTCTTAAAACATTAAACATGGAAAGTTCATCAGAATTTTAAACATAGAGTTAACCTATCACGTGGTGATTCCATGCAGGGATACATACTTAACAGAATTGAAAATTTATGTGCACAAAAAAACATATAACCAAAAGTTTATAAGAAGTAATTGCAGATTGCTTTGAGGAATCTTTTTGGAGTGATGGAAATGTTCTAAAATTGTATTGTGGTTGATGTTTGCAAAACTCTATAAACTTACTGAAGATCATTGACTTATACATTTAAAATGGGTGAATTTTGTTAGATAAATTGTACCTCAATAGAGCTACTTTAAAAACAACTGTATGCTGTATGCAAGATACAGAGCTACAACAAAGTAATTCAGAAAGACTGAAAATAAAGAGTATAGATAAAAATTTACTGCGGTCATCGAAACCTTTTGAAAGAAAATGTAATGATCTTAATATCATGCAGAGTAGAATTCAACTTCAAAAGCATTATATATGGCAAAGAAGGACAATTTTAACACAAAAGTCACAGTCTATAACGAACAGATATCACTTATTAGTAGTTACACATTATAACACAACAACTACATTTTTGAAGCAAACACTACGGAAGATGCAAGGAGACATAGAGGAACACTCATAAAAATAGGATACTATAATATATCATTTTCATTACCAGACAAATCAAGTGAACAAAAGTATGTATAGAAATAAAACATGCATCTGGATTAGAAAACAACAATCAATAGGATAGATATCTTGAATATATATTGAAATCTACATCATGATAATAGGAAATATATATATTCTTCCCAAGTGGCCCTGACACATTTATAAAAGTAATCACTTATTCACAAAAAAAATCATTTCCATAAAATATAAATATTGCAATAAATACTCTCTGGTTAAAGTGCACTCACAACTAGAATTTACTAACAAATACAAAAACATAAAGGTCCTTCCACCTCAAAATTTAGAAATCTATTTAACAACTCCACACTACAATGGAAACTACAAACTGAAATCATAGAATTTTTTTAAATGATGGCAATAAAAGTACTGCATATCAGAATCTGTGGGATATATTTAAAGCAGTGATCAGAAAAATTTTTTGGTTTAAAAACTTTTATTCTAAAAACTAGAACAACGCAAACTCAATTTAATTCGCAGTTCATAAAATTAGAAAAATAATTAAACAGTAGACCAAATGAAAACACAAAAAAGCAATAATATGGATAAAATTAGAAATTAATGAAGAGAACAAAATAACAGTAGGCCTAAAAGTAAAATTATTTTTTGAAAAATTAGCAATATAGACAAACTACTGGATAACATTGTTAAGAAAAGAAATAGAGAAAAAAGCACAAATATATAAAGAAATGACAAAGGAGAAATAGCCATTGAAACAAAAGAAATGTTTTAAACATATGATCATTGTAATGGATTGAAGGTTTATGCTGCCCAAAATTCATATGTTGAAATCTGAACCCCCAAGATGATGGTATTAACAAGTCAGACTTTTGGGAAATTATTAGGTCATGGGGGTGGAACCCTGATAAATGGGATTAGTGCCTCTATTTAAGACTCCAGGGAGAACCCTCACCCCTTCCACCATGTGAGGTTACGGTGAGAAGACAACTGTTTTTGAGGAAGCATGACTTCACTAAAGATCAGATCTGTTAGTACCTTGATTTTGAACTCCTCAGCCTCCAGAACTACAAGAAATAAATTTCTCTTGTTTATAAGCCACCCAATCTATAGTATTTTGTTATAATAACCCAAACAGACTAAGACAAGACTATGCAAACAAATTTGAAAACATAGAGGAAATAGATAATTTCATAAGGGAAATCAGCTTACTAAAATTGGCCCCGTTTGTGTCAGAAAGCTTAAACAGACCATTTCTATAGAAGTAATACAGGAAGTTATTAAGGGAATTCTTTACAAAAAAAGCAGCAAGCCCAGATGGCTTCACAAGAAAATGACAAAGTTAGATTCATATCTCACACCATGTACAAAAAGATAAATTCCAAATGGATTAGAGAGCTAAATGTAAAAAATAAAACCAGGCCAATTACTAGAAGAAAACATGCATGAATTTCTTTTTAACCTTGGTGTAGGGAAAGAATCTCTAACCATGACTCAAAGTCCAGAGGCAATAAAACTCTATTAAATTTGATTACATTTTTTTAAATTTGCATAACAAATGCACCATAGCAAAATCAAACGATGACTGACAAACTGGTAGAAAATATTTACAACACAAAGAAAAGACACATATATCTAATATATGAAGAACTCTTAAAAAATGAGACACAAAAGCCCAGACTTTCCCATTATGCAATCTATCCATATAACAAAATCGCACTTGTACCCCTTAAATTTGTACAAATAAAAATATTAAGGAACATACAGGCAGGACCAGAGATAAGCAGGCAGTTCAATATGCCTAATGTACAGGGTGGGTCAAGGTAGTGTACTATCAAGCTAGAGGTTTAGAGTATGCTTCTCTTGGTTAGGAGGAGAGATATGTTTATATCTGCAGTTTAGAAAGAACACTCTGTTGGCTTGGTGAATGCAAATTAGAAAGGCAGGGAGAGAGTTTCAGAAACTTAAAGTAATCCATCTGAGACATAATGGTGCTTCAAAATAAAGTAGTGACTATAAGGATTAAGAAAGAAAAGATAAAGAGCTATTGAAGAGGTAGAATTACTGGATTTATAAACCGAATTATGTGGGTGAGGTAGGAGTTTTGGATGAAACCCAGGGTTTAATGAGATAAATGGTAGTCTTAGAGAGAATGTAGAGAATGCAAGCATTTAAATTCAGTATGGGCCAGACGCAATGGCTCACGCCTGTAATCCCAGCAATTTGGGAGGCCAAGAGAGGCAGATCACTTGAGCCCAGGAATTCAAGACTAGCTTGGGCAACATAGCGGGACCCTGTCTCTACAAAATAAAATAAAAAATTAGCTGAGTGTGGTGGCGAGTGCCTGTAGTCCCAGCTATTCTGGAGGCTGAGGTGGGAGAATTGCTTCAACCCGGGAGGCAGAGGTTGCAGTGAACTGTAATTGTGCCACTACACTCCAGCCTGGGTGACAGAGCAAGATCTTGTCTCAAAGAAAATAAATAAATAAAATAAAATTCAATCTGTATACTAAATATAATGATCCATATTAATTGTTCAGTGCTGTTCCAGGCATATAGAAAATATCTAATAAGGTTAGCTATTGCTACTCTTCTTTTAGGCTAAACTGGTTTGATTAATCCTAATATAATTTACTATGAAATACTATTCACGATTGATATTTAACATTCTCTAAGCAGATCTGGTTTCAAGTTGCACAGCTTTCCAGCTTTGTGACTCTAGACAAGCTTCTTAACCTTTCTTGGCCTCAATCTCCTCTTCTTGTAAATTGGAGTAATAATATCAACCCAGTAATGTTTTGGATAAGAGATAAGAGAAGGCAAGTGCCCAAAGTGGTGTCTGTCATATAGTAGGATCTTTAATAAATGATAAATTGAACAAAAAGCAACATCATTGGCTTTAGGGGATTCGCTCTCATTTATCTTTGTATTTCCCATAGACCCTACCTGCGTAGAACAGCCTTACAGTTGATAGACAGTAAATACTTATCAAATCTGCAGTTGTTTTCTGCTTGACCTTTTCTTTTATTGTTTTTCTTCTAATCTGCCAAAGGCTGTTAATCTTCATTTTTAAAGTATCATTTAAATGGTTAGAGCACCTTCTCCTTGCTTAATATTTATTTTGTTTAATCTCTCTTTACTTACAAACAATAACCCATGCTTCATAATATGTAACACTTTCTTATAAAACCTTCTTGGGGACTCTGCCTATCTGCACTTCCAAGACCTTACAAGAGTTTCATTCAATAATACAATCTCAGTCCCTATCTGGCTTGTCTGTGATGAGAATTACCCAGGCTGCTGAACCTATTCCAAAATTGTTGCTGATCTCCAGAACTTCTGCCAGAATTAAGAACAGTCAATTAAAAACTTGGTCAAACATATTGGATTTAATCATTGTGAATCATAGCCACTGAAAAGACATTTAATTTGATCTGAAATACTTTCACAAGAATATCAACTCTCAGGCATAATTTGTGATTCACGACTGTATAAAAATAAAGAGTAATTTGAAATTTTAAAAGGCTAAGAGTCAACGGACCAGATACCCAAAAGTGTAACAGCCAATTCTGTTGATGAGTCTTAGGGAAATAGGCATTCTCATTGCTACTGAGAATGCAAACCAGTACAACTCTTTGAGAGGGAATTTGGCAATATCTAACATTAACCTTTCAACCCAGAAATCCCAGTTCTAAGAGCCTATCCTCGAAAATAAACTTTTTTTACAATTCAAAATTACATATGCATAAAGTTATTTATCACAGCATAGTTTGTAATTGCAAAATATTGGAAGAACTTAAATGCCTGTACATAGAATACTGGTTAAATAAACTATGCAACATCAGCCCAGTGGAGTTCTATACAGTTATAAAAAAGAATAAGGAGGATCTCTATGAATTGATGTGGAGTGGGTCCATGACATACTACCCAAATGAAAAAAATCAAAGTGCAAGAGGCCACTTCCAGAATGGCAGAGTAAGGAATTCCAAAAATGTATTTCTTAATAAAAGCAATGAAAACATCATAAAAACTGAAAAATCAAATTTTTTAGAACTCCAGAAATTAACCTAAGGTTAGCAATAATCCACAGAGTGTTTATTCAAGAAAAATCACTGCATCTTGGTAAGAACAGCGAGTTTCACAGGGCTTTAACTTGCCCTACTTCCATGCTTCTCAGTCCCATAGAAACCTTAAAAACCAACAGTGTGCCAATGATAGTAGTTGTGAAAATCAGCAGCCTAGGAGACACCAGAAAGGGCATAGAGGTTTAGAAGTATCCAAAAGCCCCATCCCCAGAGAAATTCTAATAGTCAGCTATTCTGATTGATAACTTGCAGAAAAGTTCCATTCTCAGGAGTTGTCATTATTTGACCTGACTCAGAGCTTACTCTGTGTTAATAGGCTTATCCTCAGGGCACTTGTCCAAAACAATCATTGGCAATTAATACCAGAACTGCCTGAGGCTACATTATCAGTTGGGATGTATAATAAGCTAGCCAAAAAACTTGAGAGAAAAAACTGGGGAATGAGATGACCATAGAGGGTTTTAAAAAGTTTCAAAATGTTCTTGAAAATCTGGAGGACCTCACATACACATAAGACTGTGCACATGCCCATGATTGTGTACATGCTTAGGAAAGATCCAAGAAGAAGAACAAAGTTTGAAGATTTACACTACTTCACTTCAAGATGTACTATAAAGCTACAGTGATCAAGATAGTGTGATGTTGATGAAAGAACAGACAAATAAATTAATGAAAGACAATGGTGAGCCCAGGAAGAGTTCCACACAAATATAGTCAACTTACTTTTAATAAAGGAGCAAAGGCAATTCAATGGAAAAAAAAGTATTCTTTTCAACAAATGGTGCTTGAACAACTGTACAACCACATGTAAAAAGTTTTTAAAGCCCCAAAACAAACAAAAAGCCCCACACAAATCTAGAGACAGAATTGACACCTTTTTCCCAGATTAAAAAGATGTAATTAAAATAGATTATAGTGTTAAATGTAAAATGCAAGGCTATAAAAATTTTAGAAGATAACAAAGGAGAAAATCTGGGTGACCTTGACTTTGGTAATGACTTTAACAAAAGGTCAATCTATAAAAGAAAAAAAATGAAAAATTAATCAAATTCAAAACTACTCTGTTAAGAGAACGAAAAGACAAACTACAGACTAGGAGAAAATATTTGTAAAACATATATCTGATTAAATACTGTATCCAAAATATACAAAGAACACAAAACTCAACCATAAGAAAACACACAAACCAATTTAAAAATGGGTCATAGATTTGAACAGATGCCTCATCAAAGCAGAGATACAGATAGCAAAATAAACATATTGAAAGATGTTCAACATCATATGCCATTAGGAATTCACTTTTTTTTCAGCATAACATACTATTTATTCATGTCTTTTTTTTTCTTTTTTTGTTATTGTACTCTAGGTTCTGGGGTACATGTGCATATCATGCAGAATTGTTATATAGGTACATACATGGCAATGTGGTTTGCTGCCTCCATCCCCCCGATCACCTATATCTGACATGTCTCCCCATGTTCTCCTGTCCCACCTCCCACTCACCGCTGTCCCTCCCCTAACCATCCCCCAACAGACTCCAGTGTGTGATGTTCCCCTCCCTTTGTCCATATGTTCTCATTGTTCAACACCTGCCTATGAGTGAGAACATGCAATGCTGGATTTTCTGTTCTTATGTCAGTTTGCTGAGAATAATGGTTTCCAGATTCATCCATGTCCCTACAAAGTACATGAACTCATCGTTTTTTTATGGCTGCATAGTATTCCATGGTGAATCTGTGCCACATTTTCCTTGTCCAGTCTAACATCGATGGGCATTTGGGTTGGTTCCAGGTCTTTGCTATTGCAAACAGTGCCACAATGAACATACATGTGCCTGTGTCTTTGTAATAGAATGATTTATAATCCTTTGGATATATACCAGTAATGGAATTGCTGGGTCAAATGGAATTTCTATTTCTAGATCCTTGAGGAATTGCCACACTGTCTTCCACAATGGTTGAACTAATTCACACTCCCACCAAGAGTGTAAAAGTGTTCCTATTTCTCCACATCCTCACCAGTATCTCTTGTCTCTACATTTTTTTCCCATTTATTTATTTTATTGCATTTTAGGTTTTGGGGTACATGTGAAGAACATGCAAGATTGTGGCATAGGTACACACGTGGCAGTGTGATTTGCTGCCTTCCTCCCCATCACCTACATCTGGCATCTCTCCCCTTGCTATCTCTCCCCAGCTCCCCACTCCCCACCATCCCTCCCCTATTTCCCCCCAGCTGACCCCAGTGTGTAGTGCTGCCCTCCCTGTGTCCATGTGTTCTCATTGTTCAACACCCACCTATGAGTTTCATTCTAACTGGCGTGAGATGGTATCTCAATGTGGTTTTGATTTGCATTTCTCTAATGATCAGTGATGATGAGCATTTTTTCATGTTTGTTGGCCTCATATATGTCTTCTTTTGAAAAGTGTCTGTTCATATCCTTCGCCCACTTTTGAATGGGTTTCTTTGTTTTTTTCTTGTAAATCTGTTTTAGTTCTTTGTAGATTTTGGACATAAGTCCTTTGTCGGATGGGTAGATTGCAAAAATTTTTTTCCCATTCTGTTGGTTGCTGGTTCACTCTAATGATTGTTTCTTTTGCTGTGCAGAAGCTCTGAAGTTTACTTAGATTCCATTTGTCTATTTTGGCTTTTGTTG